ATTTCAATGTACAATATTGAACTTGGAAATTATTTTATTTCGACTGGATAGTGCTTGACTGTCATTCCATCCGTTGGTGGACGAAATGGAAGTTGAAGTCTCTGTTTTATAATATATTTTAATTATTTATAAAAAAGGTAAATTAATTCTTTCCATATTAAATTTTAAGACCGTATAATACTTAATATAAAGAGAACAAACAAAACATACTTCACTCGCAGAAATAAAATCGGTTAATTTTCAACATAGAGCCTAAACAAACGAAATTGTTACGAGGGTAAATCCATTGACCCTCAAAGCAGATCTTTATCTTTTTGAACATAGCCATAATAATTTAATTTCATTTTCACGTGCTTTACAGTAAATCATCACATAATAAAATATGTTTTATTTAAATCGTTACTCATGTAAACATAGTCCAAAGGTTTTTTGCCAAAACCATTTTCCCACTTATATAATGACTTTAGTGTACAATAATTTGAACATTTTCGTTGTAAGATCGATAGATTATTGCTTTTTCTCGTCTCTTTATAGACACTCACTTCTCATCCGTCAGGTCTGTAAGTAATTACCGCCGACCGCTGAAGGGTCTAACGCCATGATGAAACTAGATTTCTCTCTGTGCTTCCGAGTATTAGGACGCGTTGAGTTGAACATATGACATGCGTTTAATCACTTCCCGATGTCATTGCTACAACTTATAAAATGAGTAGCTTTCAACAGTATATTTGAGAGAATTTATTTAGTTTTTTCTATTAACAAAATTCACCGAGTAAATAACCTTTCATATTTAACTATTTCATTTTTAGATACTATACGGACATAATTATACGTGTAATATCTTCAAAAGTATAACAAACTTTATTTAAAAACATAATAAGAAATTTGGAAAGCGTGTCAAAGTAACTTGTATTGGGTTAGTTGAATTAACTTGACTGAAAATTACACTTTGGCGACTTCACTATCTCTTACCGATCGCTTTCACTTTAATCTATTTTCCATCATGTTAATAACAACATTAAATAGATTAAAATCACCAATCTATGAAACACAAATAGTAACTTTATAACCATGATGACTATTTCACTTGTAATTATAGTTTTAAGGTTGACTAAAAGTAAATATTGTTGTTAAAATACCACAGCACTTCATAGATTAAAATTGATAATTAAAAGTAGGTTAAGCTGGTTTCGTGCGTTGCATGTCCGCTTTTAATATTTATTTAGGTCTGGTAATTACTATACATTACTATGCCCACAGAAATTTGTATAAAATTAATTATACATGAGTATTAATATGTATGTGTAACCATCATTTTATATATTATAATGAAGAGAAGCAAAATCAATTTATATGTACTAATTAGATCCATAGTATGTGATATCTGATACAACTTTTACTAGTTACAAGTCATAATAATCAACTTCATAATCTTGAAAATCCTCTGCTTCTTTACAAATATTATAATTTTATACGTGTATATTATTATGAATATTAGTATACATTTATGTTTTAAGTCATTATAGCGGTGTTAATGACCGGTTTGCCGAACAAAGTTGGGATAGGATGGGGACCCCACTTCAGCACGTCCGTCTGACTAAGAGTATTCTTGTAGGTGCTCACGTTTTAACCTTGGTACATTGTCTTTTTCATTTAATTAAAAACTCTTAATGGTTGCTCCAAACACTAATTGAATCACTTCTAACAGATAGTATGTAACATTTCTTGAAAGCCTTTATTATTTCATTCTACACGAGCTTTGGTTAATTGCTTTTATACCAAAAATTACAACCTTAACCTTTGCAAGCAAACCACGCTGTAAGTGCCATGAACATCAAATATATACACATCGGATTTATTACACATTCGTTGTTTTAAAAGAGAGGGACGCCAGCCTCGCTGATGTAACTAATGTCAGTTCTTCTAGAATCTAGAGCGTTCCATGATATTTTAAAATGAAACTTCAATTGTTCTTAATGCTCCTGTATTTCTCGAAGGTTCTTCATAATCAGAAACTTCAATGATACGCACTCACTGAACTCTGAATTCTGAAGTCTGCCGTCGTGCGTCCAGACGTCATATTTATAATAAGATTTAAACATAGTTCTATTCTCTTTTTAGACATCCTTTGATTTCGTTTTATTTTTAACAATAATCATAAATACTAATGAGGTTTAATAAGAATTGATGACAGCCTCAAATTATTTAGATGGTCGCATCCGTTATTAAAGCTGGTAGCGCCGATATATATATTTATATTTTTCTAACTGAGAAACTGCCTAAAACCAACGAATGCAAAGATAAAATAAGTAAATAAATATACTGATCATATAATTATATAATGTGTTATTACTATTTTAAGTTTCATGTAATAGCGTACTTACTTTTCAATCCTAATATTTTATTTCGAATTATAATATATATGAAAAATATTACAAAATCATGTTATTTGAAAAATATAATATTCAAGCAAAAGCATGTTAAACTTTGCAGAAAATTTACTTGAAACGACACCTCTATTTACAGCAAAACTTCTGAGACTTGTGAGAAACTGAATAATATGTCACGTTATTCAGTCTACTGCTATATTATTTTATATTAAAACTAATCTATAATATTTGAACATAAATTCTCGCAGTTTTAATTCTGGGTAAACTCTTGATTATTAATGAATTTTGTTTACAAAAACCTTCGCTATCGATGATCCTCAATAAGAGTACCTATCCCAAAATGCTGACAGGTTTCACAGCAATTATTTTCAACGTCGATAACTTTACCTCTTGAATTTAACTGGCTGAATCAGATTTATCAATAAATTACACTCGCCAATAAATTTTAACATAATTAGCGTTTTCTATATATTGTGGTGTACGAATTCGTATTAAATTTGTTTTTGTGTTAATTATTCCAACAAAGATTAAAACTGAATATTTTAATTTTATTAAAAGATTAACCCTGGTCAGATTGACTGGTGTTAAAACGAGTCAGTAATTGAAGTTTTAATAGTAAATATTTCACAAATATTTAATTAAAGTATTTTAAATATGTAGAATGAACACGACCTTTACGCGTAAAAGTAAATGGATAATTTGGGTTAAATGTTGTTAACAACAAAAATATGGTATTTTTATATAAATGCTATAAAATTGTTTATATATCGAGAATTATTTTATTGTATGGTTCTTTAATAGGCCTATATTTTAATAACCTACACTGATCATTGTGTCAAAGGTTTTTTTCTTTGTAATAAAATCTTAATGAAACTTCGACTTTGGTCGTCGTATTCTAAAGTGTACTTTAATGAATTTTGAAACGTTCCAATCATTACGTGACAGATACTTAAACTTTCACAATAACAAAGTTCAAATGTTTTTAAGAATGTTTGAAATTAGTTTGAATCGTGTGCTCAACACATATATTTGCTCGAGAAAGATTTTCGTTTTACATAAAATTAGTTAAAGATAAATACTCCTAAAAAAAATTGTAGTTATACACATTATTATTATTCTTATTGACTTAATTTTCCTAGATGTGAAGTGATAATAATAATATTTTATTACTTATTTAATATGTAATAAATGAAAAAAAGTTTTTTTTTTATTTTTAAGCTTTGGTTTTCACAAAAGGATTATTTATTTATTGTTCGAAAAACTTATTATGTATGCTTACTATTATATATGTTCTAAATTTTGTTAGACAAACTTAAAATAACTCTTCCGAGGAAGTAACTCGATCTGTAACTTGACTTATAGATTACATCATCTATAACCAAATTGGCCTGAATTTAAATTCAAATTAGTTGGTTGAATTTCAAATTATTTACAGAAATTGAACCTCAACACAAGCATACGTGTTATAAACTATAAGATACACTTAAAATAATGAAGATTCGACTTTAGGTACATATAAAGAAAAATATATGTATATATTGAGCAGAATGTCATAATTATGCCTAACTAATTTTTAAAACTTATATTTACAATATACTTAACTGAAAGAAATATCTTCAAAACATGTGTATTAATAAGATTTATGCTTTAAATTTTGGAAAAAAACTTGAGTTTATTTTGTAAAACAGTAAACAGCTTAAGGGAATTAACAGATCTGTAATACTGTTATTATATTTGCGAGCTCATTCTTTAGAGGAGGTATAAAAGATTAGAAAATTATACAACAGCTAAAAAGAAAAGAGATGAATTTTCATCGTCTATACAAGTATAATAACCTTATGATCATAGTTTTTTTACATTAATTGAAACTGATCAGAATTACACTTAGCGATAGGCAGATAATTTCTAAAAAGTCAATTTATACAAGTACATTGTTTTGACGCTCTGAGAAATTGCAAAATATACCAACAATTCTATGAGAACGGAGATTTCCCTATTACATTAAACAATATCTGAATGCCTGTCGGCCTCCACGTCACTTCAAAGTCAAAGGAAGTTTTCCCTAAAACCTTTTTTTAGCATAAATGTAACAATCTTATTTTTACAGCATCAACTCCTAATAATACAAACAAAAAACAGTAATACCACAAAGCAACAATATTATTAAATATGTTTCAATAAAAGTAAGATCACATTTTTTTAATTTTACCTTCGTTACATTGCTTATACAAGAAAGCCACAAACCAGCCCTGCAATATGTATGGTTCCATTAAGTTGAAAGCCTTTCAATTTATTGTCGATATTCCATTTTATAAATTGTATGAAGCTGTAAGGATAACATACTTAATTTATTTAAACCGTAATTCACTGGGACGTGGAATTTTAATGACTACCTCATAAAAGCTTGGGTTACACTCTTAATTAATACGTTCAATTACATTTTAATAACGCATAATTAAAAGATGATAGTATTTTTGTCATAAAACAAATTTGAAATAAACGAAGAACCTACTGTATACGTTTGCGTACATAGATCGTTCATATCAACTATAGTGAACTAGTTAATATAGTTTATGTTAATATTGTTATTAACTAATAAATTATCAACAGGGCAAGCTGTCCATCTTCGCTGTTCCATACATGGGAGACCCTACTTCAGGAAGTCGAAGCAGATGTGGTGGGTTATACTAATGCTGCAACATCTTTGGAAAGAGTGGTAGCAGCTCCCCTTATAGACAAGACCTTCCACATGAAGGTACAAGCCAGGAAACTGTTTGCTCACAGAGAAGGCTGTGAAGTCATTCTTGGGAAAGCTGATGACCAACTCAATAAGGTAAAGTATATTATATCAACTTAATTGAAATAAGAAAAAGTTTTTTGAGTTTGGACATGTCACTACCAAACTTCTTAATATTTTAGAGAAAGACAAAAATATAGTAAGGTATTTCTATTTATTTTGTGAACGAATACAGTCTAACAGAAAAAAATATTGTTATTTTTTTTTGTCAAACATGGAATACAACGCTGTAATCATATTATTCTGTTAATTTTGCTCTACAAGGCTGCCGGCATAATATTACATTTACATTTTCAACACCATTCATTTCAAATATACGTATCGTCGAGCTTGTCAGGAAACAGCTGATGACGATTTTACCGTGTTACATCTGTATATCATAATGGAGGGTGATTTTTAATTAAAAAAGAAACAAATAATATTATATTTTGTTTTCACTTAATATCTTTAACACAGTTGCTTTAGATAAAGTACATTTTCATCTCTTTTTGCCAAAAAGGGGATTGATAACTACTTAAAACAGATTATAACAGTTCCGCCATAAAAACAACTAATTTATAGTATGATGTAATACTGCAAACTGAAAGAAAGAAACCTTATAATAATTTATAACCTTCTTAAGATGTTTACAACCACTTACAGAAAAGCAACCTTACTCGGCACTTTTTTAATTTCACTTCAGACACAAAGGTTTTTTACAAGACATAATATAACTTGTTCGAAATAGCATTTGTATGAAAGAAAACCATTATATAAACTGTTATAAAACTTTAATACGTCTTCTGAGGATAACGCACACATTTTCACCGGAAAAAAATAAAAATAAAACGACGACACACAAAGGAAATATAATTCACTTCATTAAGTACAAATATAATACCAACTATGCCGACTCTTTTATATAATTTTGTTTTTTTTCTATTAATAAAATCAAACTTTTGTATTGAATTTCCACACGTTAAATATTTACACAGATATTACTAAAAATAGCTTTGCCTTCCTCGACACAAAATTACACTACACTAGGAAAGTTCATATTTGTCAGGTATTTGCAAAGCAAGCAGACATTACACTAATTAACTACTCAAGTCTTTTGAGAAGAACTACTTTCACGGAAAAACCATTTTCCTGCACAGATATCTGCTATATTTAAACTTAGTGTTACTATGGTGAAAATTAGCTTGGGTTTATTTCACAAAGACTTAACGTTGCTATGATCTATTAGTATAAACATGTGAAGTTTTGAGTCTGGTTATTAAAATTATAAAAAATATATTAATAAGAACAAAATAAAATATATCTTATTTATATTTTTTGTACATGATCTACTATTGGACCCATTTTTTCTATCATTTTTTTGAGTCTATGTATTCCGAAACATTACTTGAACTCTATGTGGGGTCATTCATAAATCACTTTACACCATATGGAGTAGTAGACTATCACCAGAATGTGACATTGTAAGACAAGGCGCAGGGGGGAAAAAGGGTTTGTGACATCATATACTAAAATAATCTTACTTATACGTTTTTACGACCTCATAATATATTTGAAAATACTTTAGCACTCTCGTTATGAATTTTTTTCTCACGTAACAGTATCTAAATTTTAAAACATCGTTGTAATGCAAGTATGAAATTTTTAAGAGTTTTGAATAGTAAGTGCTCACTCGCTTGCTACCGTTCGCGCTTCTGATGTTACCGAGAAATTCGACAAGTGCCATCGCTAGCGTCGGCATAAAATTGATAACGTGTGCCTTCACATCAAGGGGAAGGAGCTTCTGGAAATATGAAAATCTAAGTCAAGGACGGGGGAGGCGTTAAAAGTCTTGAAATTCGTGTGACGTAATTTATGGATAGCCCCATAAATCAACTTCCTAATTTTTTGACGTATCCAAAAAGCCAATGAATAATAATAAATGTCAAAAATCTGTTGCGTCATTTTATTTATTCTTTTTGCGAGATACTTAATAGAAACAGAATGTAAATTTAAAGCTTCCGATAATACTTACGTAAAAGACAAATGTGTATTAAATTTACATCTATTTACTTATAAAGAGCTCGATAACTCACCTGGCATTTGTAACTCGATTTCCCTTAAGCAATCTCGAGTAGAGAAAATTGGATCGGGATACACAACCTTTTAAAATTAGGTGAAATTGTCTTCAAAATGATCAGACAGGAATTAGTTACGGATGGATCAACTTATATCTATCGCAAATAAATACCTACATCAACTGTCACACATGTTTATTTACATCTTGTTTAAAAAGTGATAAACATGATTGTTTATTAGAAAAAAATATCCTTATCGAATTAATGAATTTTTTTGTAAATATTCTGAAACTGTTCATATATTGACAAACCAACTATTATGTGGCTAGCACCTAGCAACTTTTGCTAGTTCACAGCTGAATAAAAATTGAGAAGTAAAGATGCCAAAGCGTGCTGATGTGGTAATGAAAGAAGACGCTGTGTGTAACATAAACAGAGGAAAGACTATTAAAATTAGCATACGGAGCTGCACATAGTAGGTGTTGGTCCAAATCTAGGGCATCTTAAGTAAAATATCTGTTCTCGAGCACATTGGAATCTAATACTATTACAGTTAAGTAGAGTTAAGTAGTATGTCGGACCTAGGTCGGAATCTAAGTTTAGAGAGGCTATGGTCTCTCAAGTGTATTGATTGATGTTCTCAATCCAATATAAATTATAATGAAGTTTATTTGAAAATTTAATAAAAAGTATACACATATTAATTTTAATTTCCTAGACTACATTCAACAAATCTAAGAACTGATACCTTACAAACATATCAAGGATTTTAAAGCATTAAATCAAAATAAGTAAAACACTTTTATAATATACTATCACGTGTTTTTGATTTTTCTTTAGGTATTTTTATTACGTTCAAGACTTTTTAATCGTTTCTGTTAGAGAGGTATTTGAACTTTAATTCTCTTTTTTCCTTGTTTTATACGGCATAGACAGTATAAAAAAAAGATTTAATTTTTACTTGATTAAAATTATTGTTGTATCCGGAATCTCATCCGAATAACATTTTATTATCTTTTTGAATTTAATTGCATTGCTAAAAATGTCGAATTGTTCGTGTGTGTTGAATAGTTAAAAACAAAATTTTAGTAGGAAATAAGATTTAATATCACATAAAACAGCATATATTTATTTGAAAATATTAATCAATCACTACGTAAGATTAAAAGTAATCAAAAATATAATGAAAACAATTTACCAAGATTATTTTTAAACTCTGTTGACATCTGACAAAATGTATAGATTAAAGGATCTTACAAGCTGAACACACGAAAGCAATCATGTTTGTGGTTGGGAACCGAATACTGTGACATAGGTTACATTTTAATGAACGGTGTTCTGATTATGTAAACTATATGTAGTAAGATAAACACAATTATATGTGTGTCATATAACAAGGGTATCAAAAGGGACAATATATTCGAACATGATACCCTTTAAATCGAGAGGTAATCCGACTAAAGTAACAGATGTACACGCTCTAACTATCTTTTAAAATTCTTACAAAGAATCTACCTAAGCTCTATGAATTAATGGCTTGTTAATAGGTTAGTTTTTGTGCTGAAGATAAACTGCAATCGGAAACTTAGATGTGCTTACCTATTTTTAAATTTATGTGGGCTAACTATGTAGAATCATATGCTCTTTTCATTTATACCGCAAAATTAAATTGTCATACAAGTTTATAGTTATAAACATTATAAAGCCAGGTCATGTTACTAAAATTACATGTGCTATTTAATCCAAAATGAATCTAGTTTGTGGTCGCCATTAGCAGAAATTCTACGACAACCTCTGTTGTAAATTTAATGATAATTTAGGAAATAAACTTTGTGAAATAAAATAAGACAGGTAATGTCATAATATGAATTATACAGAAATAGTTAAACATTTACATATTTTGGCTTCACTTGAATAATATGTTACGTAGTTTGTACAAACGTATTTCACGTAAACAATATTTTTTCCCGAGATGAAAATTATGTTATACTATATATAAAGTATGACAGTTTAATTTGCTGTATGCTACCCATTACTCAATGACGTCTGAATGTCTGAATGACTTATGGCTTGTAAATAGGAAAAAAACTTATGGGTTGTAAAAGCAAGAACTATGTAGTTATATAAAACTAAAAGTTTTTAGAGAATTTTATCAAACATTTAAAGTATTGTAAAATTTTTGTCATATTAATTTAAAGCTATTAATTTAAAGCATCGAATGCTATCATTAAGTTCAATATCATTTTTTTTTGTAAATTTGCTCTGTGTTGAAGTGTAATTAATACCTCTGTACGTCGTGCATTTCTCAGTGTTAGGTTTTTCTAACGTTCTTCAAGCAAGTATGACAAGCATTTTTCTGCTCTTTTGAAGTTTTCCATTTTACTGATGTCGTATTACCCTGCTTTTCTTTGAAACTTAAGTTTTTGTATGAAAAACATGTATAATTTGATATTATTTAAGTATAACCAAGTTAATGTTTATGAAATTATGCTAATGTTTACCAAAATATTCTTTATTCTGGCCACCTGAAGCACTTAAGAGTCAAACCTTTGGGCGCTCCATGTGATATAAAAATTATGTATTAGATAAAAATGTATTTATATAATGAGATAAAAATGTTCTGTGCTTTAGTTGACATAGAAATTAATAAATTTTTTGGGGACCACACATAAATATTATAATTCAAACCGAAGTCCGCAAAAATTTCCAGGAAAACCACAACCTGCAACCTGTATAAATATTTTTAATATCTTATAAGAAATGATTTAAAGAAACATAAACCTAACGATGTTTCAGCAGAAACGTCGTAATAAAATAACAGTAGATATATATATATATTCAAAAGCCTACTGTTGATATAGTAATATTACATAAAAACTGAGTAAATAATCATTAATTCCAGGTACATTTCCAATCAAAGACTTAATCGAGGATAAAAATGTTTATGAACTTGAATGCTTCAATCTGGAAAAAGATCAAAAGGGATTACGATCAGATGTTTTTTTGACGCTTAAATCGACATCCGTTGGTCATCTGTAATAAATGTATTTATTTGTTCCGTAACTTTACATATTTACTATGACCTATTTACTTTATAAATATATGGACTTTGATGAATTTTTGTAATTACATCAAATCTATTTATATCAAATCATAATTTAACAATATACATTCAATAAAGAAAATTTAACAACGTGTGATTGAACTACATATACATATGTACATATAAATATATTAATTCAATCTCTAAATAACCATTTTTATACCTACATATATATTTTGCTCCCCGTTAAAAAAAAATATATAATCGTAGACCATACTAATATTAACTATTTTTTGCGAGAAATATAAAAAATAAAGAATAATATTTGTTATCCCGAGCAGCAAATTACAAGTTTTATTAACTTGTTTCGAGTGTACCTACAAATGCTATCATTCTATTAATTGTGTTATGTACAATTTTGTCTTACCTGTATCAGATTTTTTTGAGAAACCGATATGTGGGCTCTGAACATCATATCAGCTCTATAAATAACAAAATTCATGAAATTGTCTTTAGCAGTTCCGTGATATTTACAAAAATAAATCATATAAAATTAACATTGTACAAAATGTTGGTTGATATATAAAATTTATTTCAGTTTTTATAACTATAACATCACCGTAAAATACACAAAAAAACCGTATTGAAATACCGCATGTATCAAGCAATAAGCCAGACTAATATATTTGAGTGGCTTTTGACTATTTATTTAATGGGGCTAAAACAGTTTTTCAATATTATTAAATTATACTGATTTTAGGTCCTGTTATTTTACTATTATCCTTAAGTCAAAACAAAAGCCATACTTTCTATTTGAACAAATCCTAACACAACACAGTTTTATATATTTCATGTATAAATCGAATATAAAAGTATTTTTGCCGTCTGGCATTGAATAAATTTCCTTCCACACAAAGTAAAACCTTTATTGTTTTAAATTACAATTCGAATACAAAACGACCAGCGAATTGAATGAAAATGTTCGAAATGCTTTTTTTTAATCTATATTGTCTCCATTTAGAAGTTAGAAAATATTTTTCCAACCTGGTTAATCGATAAAACTGTAAAATTCAGGATATATATACATTTAAATCTCTAAGCAAATCAAAGCTCTGTATTTGTTAAAAAAGCAGCTTATGATCACCAAAGTTCTCTTGCATTAATTTTTTTGTTAATGTAGGTACTGAGGAGGTCACATTTAGCTACTTCTCTTGATAAATTGCTCAAAAAGAAAATTGATAAACTTAAAAAAATTAAATGAGGCCATTGTAAAAATGTATTATTTCACCAAACTAAACCAAATTTTTTGCTACAAAATAATTATTAAGAAATAAAATTATAGTTATTTGTCATTCAAAGTCAAATGAAAGTAATAACTGTATATATTTTTTAATGCCATTCCATAATATATTTAACCGTCGTTGGTCGCTTGTTAAGCCATTATTTATATTACTTGTCCTTCCTGACACGTGACTTCTATAATATGTCACTCATGAATATTAAATTGGGCCAGAGGCAATATATTACAGTCCATTTACAGCATTTTTTGGCTTTTATTACAGCCTATTACGTGAAGTAGGTCGTTTGACTCCAGCCATAACATCCAATGATATATGGAAAACATTATTGTACTTAATATTTTTATTTATTATAAGAAATGTGATCATGGACCTTATTTATTTCAGAGCCGTCAAGACTACAGGTCAGCATTCCTGAACTACTGCAGCAATTCAAATCCAACGAATCTGGCAATTTATTACGACTCCCACAATAATTACGTGCAACAACTTACAGCTACGAATGCTATGATAGAACAATACCATAGACATACATTGCCGACTATATTACAGGTAAGATTAATTTAACCGATAGTAAAAGAGTAATGCTCTTTGAACTGCTTATAATAAAAGCATGTTAAAGTATAAAATTAAAATTTTCATTTCTGATAATATGGGAGCTTTATATGTAGAAGGGATAACGTTACCTCAAAGAACTTCATTGTATCCAATTATATTATAAGCGGTAAATTAAATATGCTTATCTTAAGAGTCGTAACTTTAATTGAATTTTATAATATAAAATACGAGAACATTAGCAGATTTCGACAGTGATTTACTTTTTGTAGGAGTTTCCAAAATTAAATGAATTTTATTAGCTTTTTATACCGTAAAGAACATTTGTGGTATTTGTAATTGCTCAATTCTATTCCCATCTTCCTTTATAAAAAAATATAGACTATATTACTATAATTATTTTTTTTGTACAATTATTATTTAAACTCACTATTCAAAAGTAAGATTACAATTTATACCAACGCTATATATTGACTCATAATCATGTTGGGAATCTAAAGCCTAACGGTCTGATTTCAACGTTGAGACAAAATATGAATTGAGGATACATAATATGAACTATAAGATTAGAATAAGGGACTTTTTATGTTTATAGTTTATGTATTATATAAATGAAACTTAAGTTAAATTTCTAGGCAGCATCATTGTTAAAATGTTACTAATCAATTGGTTTAATTCAACACAATTTAAATTCGTTTAAAAACATCTATGTTTTTTTTGTAGTAGCTAAGTTTTTCTGCAGAGTTAAGTTATCTACTTCTAGTCTAATTTTGGCTTTATTAAAATGTTTTTGTCGTGTGCTTTATAATTTGGGGTCTAATTAACAGCACGTACCAAAAAATGAAGTGACGGAATTAAAATGTCTACAATGGTTTTTTTTCAAACATAGTTACAAAAGAAAAAACAAATACTGATCTAACCACTCACTCTAAAGACGTTATTGCATCTTCGGCATATCTTAGATAAAGTCGGGTGATTGTAATCAAAAGGTTGTATACAAAAACAAACTGACTTCTTAAAACTATCTGTATATTATAAATTAAAAATATACGAATGAATCAGTCCATCAAATGAATATTTAATTTATCAATTTGATAAAATATACTTTTTACACCGCAACATATCGAACTCACTGATAAATTTCAAGAAGTATATATAAATACGATTATACACTTTATCAATTTCATACAAAGATTTTCCCTTTTTTAATAATCTACGTTCATACTAAAGTGTACAGATGATTTGAAAGACGGTTAACACTACTTATTTGCTTGCGATTTAAACTTGAAGTCTGCATACTTATTATTTATTCCTATTAATAACCCTTTAAAATGATGAAAATCAGGTTCGCATAAACATCTAAATAATGTAGATTTTAGTAATAAATATAACGAGACGTGCCCTATCGATAACATTTTTAAGTCCACGTGGGTGCATACTCAGACAGATAACAAGCATATTGAATAAAATAAATTAGAAAAACACCTACACTATTTCTCTTATCAGAAACTTATAAATAGCTTAACCCGACGCTACGAAATCGATCCTTTTGGATTTTGATTTTGATTGAAATAGAGGAGGATTTTTCGAATGCAAATTGAATTTCTTGCAAAATTTTCAAAACAAAGTCTTCTCCTGCCAACTATAGACTGTAGAAAACTTCAGCTTTCATCATTTTACCACTTTAAAAATATATAATATAACAGACAGCATACAATAAGTTATTCACTTTGAAAATGCGCTATCGAATTGCTTTTGTGTGACTAAAAGCTTTTCCATCTTGAAGATATGAATGCCGATGGAAACCATAACTGCATATTGGCAGTATAGAAAAATTCAAAAATATATTTTTGCTACACAACATTCGATTTCCAAGGAATTTAAACATTTAAGATATTCTGTGTGAATTGAAGCATCAGAATTAGTAGAATCGGATTATATTTCAATTTCACCTTAGAGTAGATCGCACGTGATACATATGACGATATAATATTGCATTATTTATGATTTTCTATGATCATTACTGATCATATAAATGTGAAAGTTTGTTTTGATTTTGAAGACGTCAAAATATAAATCGTAGACTTCAGAATAAGATATTAATTTTTAAAGATTAAGATATCAAGGCATAACCGTTTGTTTGTGTGTCATGTGAAGGAGACTATAGATATCAATAATGGTAAATATATTGTTATAACACTATATATGTGTCTCTAAGCGAAATTTATAAGACCACTTGGATGGAATCGCAGGCAAATAATAGTATGTTCATAAACACAATTATATCAAACAATCATACATATTAAATCTTTATAATATTACGTTATTAAGCTTAATAAAATAATGTATTATTAAAGCAATAAGTTTCTTAGTTGTCATCTATTGGTTTCAGGGTATATTAAATAATTATATCAGATATCTGTATCATAATTAATGGATGAAAGAACCGACGTCTCGAACTAATTAATTAATGAAAAACTTTTTCTTATACCATGATTCGGCTATATCTAGCTGTGTATTTAATCTTAGTTAGCTAACTTTATGGATCAAATAAAAGAAATATTTAGGTGATTCCCAGTAGATTATAAGTTCCAAATAAGTTATTAGATAAACTATATTTTTTAAAGGTAACCAATGTCAAGATTACTTCTTATATGTACAATTTCTGCGGTGTAATTCGAATTAATATTAAAAATTATGTATGTGAAAAATGTTATTAGAAATTCTTTCGTATTAAACTTTATCTAAATATAGTCGTAATATATATTCATGACCGTTTCAGTTAAATTTATTTCCTGTAAAAAGGATCATAACTTACAAAGGTCAGTGATACGACATAAAAATATATCATCTCAATGGATGCTTATCCGTCTTATTGAATATTGTTCATCTTTATTTATTTTCATATAAATATTTAATAAACATCACATACTTTTGAACTTTTAACAGATATTTTTATTGTTTTATATAAAATATAGATATTTATAGCGGATTTTTCATTTCATTTGTATCATACGTATATAATAAAGTTTCATTTGAACACAGATTTTAATTAAACTGACACTCGCACTGAAGCTCTGTAATAATGCCCAAGCATCTTTATTTTTAATTTGTTTCGACTTACTTTGACAGTTCTCTGTGCTTTAGACTATGTTTCATTTAATATAACTAATTTAATTAATAAACATTATAAAACGGGCTTTTTAATACTTTATGTATACTTGGGTTGAGTAATTGTATAACAAAAACAATAAGTTGTTCTTGTTTCATAGAAATTTATACAAATTTTCTTATTATATTATCCCTTTGATTTAGTAACAGCTATTCTAAGTTTTCTGTATCTTGTTTAATTGAAGTATGAAATGGACAAACTCTGTCAGTGAATTCAAAGGTTAGGTTTGTAGCAAAATTGCTATTATTTCTTAAAAACTATTGTCCTCACCCAGACATCATCAGCCAAAAGACGTCCACTGCAGGACATAGGCCTCCCCCAAGGATATATACCAGACATATTCATATAAAATAGGAATGCTGTACTGTAAATAAGTTTATATTATAATATTAATATATTATGTATTTATTACAGTTTTCAGTATTTTTTTCTATGTTACACGTTTATAACTTTTATTTTTGATTCTCGTGGAAGTGTCGGTTGAAAATAGGACGGGACAAGCTCGTTTATGCACATTGTAAATAAATCTATAGGTATACAAACATATACCTTTACGTTTATATATGTAGGTATATAAAGGGAATAATTAATAGGACAAACGGACCTACTATAAAATGGCCCGATTCGTTCTCAGTTTATTTTTTTGGAAACACATCGATTTTTGCAAGTGCCAATATACGTGCCCCAAAAGCTTTTTGTAGATTAAATCTATAATGAGAGTAATAATAAATTTCTGCATGTTTCCCGGATAAAATTATTGAATCGTGACACAATTTCAAAATTATCTAATTACGAATAATTTGTAATTACAATAAAATCAATATGTATAATTAATGATAATGTTGAATCTATGTTAATTTACAATAGAATAATTTTAAATCAACTTGTATGTATTATGTATAAATGCTGTCTTCAGCTATTTTGTATCAAAATGTTGTAACTACACTAACACAATAGTATTAATGATATAATTTAAAACTAACACGACGACGACGACACGACGTTTCTACCCTTCGCATAAGTAAAACAGAAACATCTATGAATTACACTTTGAGTTAATTCTCAAACATAATAGACACAAATTCTTATTATTAAAATACAATGTGAAATATTTTTACTCTTATTTATAAGGTATTCTTTTAACCACATATTATGAGCGTACATGCTAAATGTCCTCTCAGGTTTAATTCCTTGTTTTTGCTCTTAATTTGAAGTTATTAATGGTCCTAATATAATTTTCAGGAGTTGGAAGAGATTCTGACTGATGTTACTACCGCCGTCAGCGATGCAATTTGTCAAGAGGGAGAAATCATAACCGACAAGGTAGGTACATAGATACAAATTACTATTTCATCTCATATTTTGCCTAAATACCTCTGATTACGAGCGTCTCTAAAATCCAAGAATCATTTTCAAACATTTTATTAGCTATGAAAATTAAAACTTAAATATCAAAAGAGATGTCAAAGTTTCAAAGTATTTAATTATTTATAAACTTTCGTAATGAAATACGAATCCATTGAATTAATTATTAATGTACCACTCGGGGGACAGGGAAAGTTGATATGACGATGTTAAGAAACATCTAAAAGCTATATTTACACTCTCCTTTTATTTCTCATTTACATAATGAAAAAAAAAGTACTTGCTTTGTCAGGGTACTTTTTTAATTTAAAATAATTATATCAAATTATAAAAGAACTTAAAATAATCTTATATTATGACGTAACATACAATTAAGTCGCAAAAGAGTTTGATTATTCTAAATGTGTATGAAAGAATGTATAGTTATCTTTTTCTTCTCAGACTAATAACCAGCTCCGTCGTTACGAGTCACTTTGCGCCCAAGCTCGTGCTGTATCCAGTACTGCTGACTTAGCACATCTCGCAAGAACTCTACTTACTAGTACTCCGCCAATTAGGACGCCTAAGAGAGCCTTTCTGCCACCATACCCACCAGAACCTGATGACCCACCAATAGATGTACCAGCGGTATGTAAAATTACTACCATTTTTTATCCAGTCTTTTCTGAGCGGTCTATTACCTGCATGCCATAATAAATTGTAATAGAAGATATAAAAAGGTATATACTGTGAATTCAGTTTTATTACACTATTCGCTAGCTATAAAATATTACCTGTGTAACCAGACGGTATATGGCCGTTTCATGGGTACAGTGTAACAGCTTTTTTTGATGCTGTATTTTGTTTACTTGCAGTATATATTTGAAGTAAACAATGAGATTAGAATATTTCTTTATAAATTTAGAAATGCAGCTTATAATGAAAATTTTAATGAGTTGGTAGTTTATATTAATATAATTTTAGCGATCGCAAAATCTGAATACCGTTAATATAAAATAAAAACACAAAACATATCCAATAACAGTGCATTGAGAATAAATTGAGCAAAATATTTATATATTTTTGCTACCTATTTTTGATATTGATACTTTTTATCATTTGTGTATTATACATATTTTTGTTTGTTCACATCCATGGAGAATTTTATTTTATTTACTTTATTTTACTTTGTTAATATGAAATTTTTAAATAATATAAATTTAAATATGCCTTAAACGCCTTCATGCCTGACAAAACTTCAATATATATATTGAATTTCCTTCTTCATCTTCTTGTATGAACCACATAATATATGATTTAGAATGACAAAACACTATACTAATCAACATTTCCATCTAAAACCTCTGTTTAATGAATAGAATAATTTAAAAAAAACTAACATAAATGTTAGCCGTAATTATTACATAAACACCGCGAAAACAAACTTTTAAAATACATTGTAGTTTTTAAGAAATATAAGAACCATACTTCAAGAATTAATTTAAAGAAACCTAACAGAAGTCTCAAGTCTGCTGTAATAATTGACGCTTCCGATAGCTGCTTCCATGAACTTATTTAAAGTTAAATTTACTTTCGGTAACAAAAGAAATACAAAAGTTATCTACAGCGGAGTGTAAGATTTTTTTTATAAAGTTGTTTGCAATTCCCCGACTTAAGATGTAAAATATAGAAATTATTACGACCTTTATGAATGTAAAATGAATATAAGAATCTGCAAAAAAATTACTATCTTTAATAATAGGATATGTTATTAAGTCATTATAAAAAAAAAAGTCTAAGTATTTTTAAGCTAACTTTATTTATTGTGAAAAATGAAACTGTGAAATTCATGCTTGAGTTTTTCATAAACGATTACCGTTAAATTCTTAGCGTATGTCGAAAAACAATAGTTTTAATTTCAAATAGAACGATGCAAGCATTTAATAAATATTCATGAAGCAATCGCTTTGTCTTTTATTCTAACGTAGAATGAAATGCAAGGTGTTTGTATAACTAATACAGTACATTGTTAAAGATTTCAGAACAAATAAGACTGCTTACAAATAGTAAGAGCATTTCTTGAATTGCAATCTCTTCTGTAACAACAAATATCCGATCCAATTTTCTGCAAAACGTGACGGTCATAACTCATGATCAAGCTTCGATCCCCTCATTTAGCGAATAAATCACTACATTAGCACTTTCAGCGGAAAATTCAACTCTCACAACTACAAGGTACCTACCTACCTGCATTCGTTAATTCAATCACGTCGACCGTCTCTGAACTTTGACGCTATACAAAGTTTGAAGCATTTAATACGTTCATTAAAAGCAATCTTTTACTCTTGATTACATATAGTATTAATATTATTACCTACACCTAAAACTAAATCTCAGTCCCTAATTTCATTAAGTAACTTACATTTAAATTTCCTATTCTGTAAAATTTATGAATTTCGTGCTTTTAACCCTCGACGAAAAACAAGTCTATTATAATTTTGACCTCAATTACTGTACATACGAGTATGTGTACGTGCGTGCGTGCGTGAGTGTGTGAGTGTATGTGAGTGTGTTGGTGTGTGTGGGTGTTTGTGTGTGAGTGAGTGTGCGTGTGCGTGTGCATGTATACGATCGTAACTCTCAAACCGATCTACCGACTTCATTGAGGCATTTATTCTTTTGAAATCAAGTGTCATTTCACTGGTTCAACGCTATGTTTCTTTAATATCGGTGTACAAGTTATGCTGTAAGACATTTTCGGCATTTAAGAAATCACGCATTTATGTGACTCACGCGTTATCGTTAAATGACTATTAGTGAAAACTGTACATGACTTTTTGTTTTTAAGTCTAATTAAATTTTGTTAATTGAAGCTATATAAAAAATTAGATTTGATGCGATTACGTTACTTTCACATATTATTTTACATCCATTTTCTAAGTGACTCAAGTGAAAAAGTTCAAAAGGTCAAATAAAACATGAATATAGCAACGAACCGAGACGTACCGAATCTAACTTAAACTGCATGGACTATAACTATTACATACTGCAGCTTTTGTACTTTCTGTATTTTTTTATAATATAATATAAACATTTAGGATATATTATTTATTATGATGAGTCTACACTCTTTGTGTCAACGACGTTCAAAGCTCAAAGTGCCATTAACTCAATTTAATAGCTAAAACTTTTTCCAGTCAGAACTAAACTTTTTTCTCAGATAAAAACAAGCTCATAAACCAGTGATAGATATGTTAAAGTATATTATTCTATCAGCTATAACTGTTAAGTTTTTAGAGATTGATAGCAAAACATATAAAAGAAACATAGTTTTATGATTCTATCGCTAAATATAATTATATCAAATGAACCATCATAAAAAGAAGTATAAAAATAATTAAAATAATATTTGCTATTTTTGTATCATAAGGTACATACGTAGATAGTATATAGAGATTGATTGAGTAAGCAACACAGGAGAGTTGATTAAACCAGTTATTTCTAACAGGTACAATTGCTATGCTAATTATAATTGTTTATATTTTCTATAGGAGACAATGCCGCCTGTTCTGCGAGGCGAGATGTTACTGGATAGGATGGGAGGTGGTCAGGCCAGACTCAGCTATGAACAGCTCAAAAAGGACGCGATTGATCTGGAGGCACAGATAAAGATGCTGCAGGTTTGATAACCTTACCTTACATTCTGTAGATGATGAAATGTCTTTTATATTGAATCTTTTTATAACTTCGTCAACTTAGATTTAACATAAGATTTTGTTATTTTCAAATCCTTATTTGGATTTTTTTAGAGTTCTATCAAAATTAAAACATTTTAGATTTATAAAATAACAAATATAAATAAGGACGTTTGACTCATTATGTTAAGTTCCAAAGAATTCAGATTAAAAGTATAATACTACAAGTCTACAAGTTGGATATTATAATTTTGGTGTATTATACAAATTTTAAAATTTTCCTCGTTTTATTCATGAACAAACATTAATATGTATAGCTTTTTACAGGATGGTTTGGACGCTTTAGCTAGAATTCAGGCACGCAGCCTTGAGAGCAACCTATATGCTAAAGTAAACGAAATTCAGGTAAGTTATAATGACAGTATTAAACGCTCAACTACATCGCTTTCTCAGGGAACTTTTCGATTAAAATATCTTATTAAACTTTAAAGTTCACGAAAAACACCAGTCTTATATTCTATACAGCAAAGCTAAGATTCACTATTGGACTCGTATATACTTTCCAAAAACAAAAAACTTACATCTTTCAAATTGTAGCTTCAACACCATAGTTTAAGTAAAAAATTACAACAAAAACTGACTTAAGATCAAATAATAAACAACAAAACCATTAAGCTAAAAATAACATTTCCTAAAACATCTTAAATTAAGTTTATTCACTATTCTAAGAATAAAATACGGCAAATATTTCATCACAATATTTACTACAAAAGAAGGGTATAACAGTAACAAAATGGATTTCCACTGATAATGAGGGTTCACTTGCAACTTGACACTATTGTGAAATACTTCAAGCGTACCTAACAAAGACACGTAACAATTACTCATTTATTTTCGTCTATTAAAAGAAAATAAACCTTTAAACAGTTCTTTATCCTTTACCTTATTAATTAAACTATACTGAATTATCACTAATAGAAATAAACTAAGCAAATGCTTGTAATTACCAAATCTTTTTCATATTTTAACAAACAGTATAAATATTGAAAAAAAATCCCAGCTTGAAATAAATGATCGTTTTATCAATATAAATAATTACGTCAATTTACAAGACGTCACTGTAATTAATTTGAATTTGACACTCAATCATATTTTTCAATCGCTGCCTGGATTCCATTCAATCTCAGAACCAATTACCCCAGCCGTATTATACAAACTTTGAATTAATCGACGTAGGCGAAACTTCGAAATATATATACAAAAATATTATACTACTACTGCGATATCAAATTTATATGAAGCAATTTTTTATGGAAATCAATAAAAATTTTATAATAAATCTATAGTAAATATTAATCACAAAACTAAATTTAACACATCAGTATCAATATAATGCTTATTCCAAGTTGCCATTGTCGCGCTGCATACGAAGCATTAACAGTTTTTCATTCATATATCTTCACAAATTGTAATATTAACGAAGGTTATTAAATGAGATACGACGATACGATATTAAGGCTATTGATTTCTTGCTGCAGCAATAATTAATCTATATACATAATTATATATAAAAATGAATCCCTTTTTCCTTTGGTCACGGCATCACGCGTGAATAGCTGGACCGATTTCACTAATTCTTTTTTTTATTGAAGTTGTTGTTATTAGGAGAAAGTTTTTATGTAATAAAAAATTACAAAATTTCACTTTTTTAATAAAGAAATTAACTTCATTCAGATAAAAAAGTAACAGATATTTCTTGATTATAGGACGGTACGAAGTTCGCCGGGTTAGCTAGTTTATAATAAATATGAAATACATAATATAAATGTTATCAGTCTGATGAATGACGATACATAATAATTATTGTTGGGGGAGATTTATTCAATCATAATCCAGACGGAATACTAGTAACAAATGTGAGTGTACAAATAAATTCACATGAAATTCTTGAAGCATGAAAACAAAAAGAAATCTCTGCTCTTCTATTTAATAAAGCAATTTTTTCGTCATTACTCTATGAAAGTCTTTTTGGTCTATTTTTCATCTCTCTTTGAACGTGCGACAAAAGAACGGTTCAACAGCTTTTTTTACAAACTAGACGGTTTGAGAATATATGTATGTGTTTTGTATTTTTTGTCTACCAACTAATAGAATGACTGGCTTCGAACATATTTTTGTTTAATTAATTTACTAGCTTTGTTTATTAAAATAAATCATGATCCATACGATGTTTTCACAATTATATTCACATTATTTTTTCCTTATAGAAGATTCCAATCAAAATTGAAAAAAACAAAATTGAAATTGAAAAATAAAAATATAAAATTAAAAAAAATCTTCTATTAGAATAATTTTAAGATTCTTTAAAATTCCATTTGAAGGTTTTTTGTTCGATATTTTAATGTCGCTTTACTGTTTCTTATGGACTTAATTCTTATGTAACAAAGCAAATTTACTTCCGTGTATATATTCTGGTAATTAATACGAAAAAAGGAATTTAGGTATAAAAATAAAAACAATAAAACAGCTAAGTATAAAAAACACAAAATATTCACATATTACAAATTTCACGCATCACATAATACTGATTATGAGTAATAAGATAATATTTGCTAACCCCTCCGAATGGCAAAATACGAATTTTGGAACACCAGTAAAATACATTTCTACATAGATACACGTATAATATCTGTAAAAAAATATACTAATTTCTTTATAGTTTACCCTTATCGACCTCAGTTGTAATAAAGATATGCGATAGGTATTTATTTTTTCTAATATCACCAAATTAAGAAATGAATATTATGACAAAATCCCAAGATATTTGAAAAAGGAATTATAATTTGTTACTGGTGCGCCATCTATTATACACAGCGATCCCCAACATCCTTGTTTTATGCAGAGCCATCTGTCTACTTATAAAAGCAAAAATTACTACGTAGATGGAAAGCTCAGTGAATTCAACCCCTGAAAACTTAATACAAACTTTGTCGTATAGATGGCAACACAATTTTAAACAAAAAAAATGAATAATAAAGACTTTATCTCTTTACTATACATAGTTATTTCACAATATTTTTATAACGTAAATAATATTAGTTGAAAATGTATAATTAGTTTATCAAGTTTACGTGTTACTTTTCTCAGGTTAACCTGTCACTGTCTCGTATACATCGCGCCAATTTAAAAGTTAGTTTTGAACGATTTATATTTTTACAGGAGGAGATTTCGTTGAAAAAATATGACTACCGTGCTACGCAACTGCATCTTGCAGCTGTTAGAGCGCAGGTAAGTGAAAAGTTATATTATAGCACATATTTAGATATGTTCCAGACAATATTTGTGTATATAATAACCACAGTGTTATTAAACTTAGCTCTTGCACTAAGTCCGAGGTCACTCGTGTTGAGTGTAAAGAAGTACCTACCTGATGCAAATGCAAAGCGCGGGTTATACTCTGTTTGAATCGTTTAATTCTTTAAAAAGAAACTTCTCAATATTCACAAATTTATATAATATTGATGAGCGACATAAAAGAACAAACATAGGAAGACCGAGATGGTAATAACATTTCTCATGCTTTAAAATAACTAAAATGTCAAACTTATCAATACATAAAATTTTAAAACAGCGCGATCTGCTTGAGATTATTATGAAAAATAAAATATTATAAGTATTAATAAATTTACCATAAATACTTTCTAAAATTAATAGAAAAAATATTATAATGTCAACACTGAAAAACTATTTTAAATATCACAATGTTTTCGTTTCAAACGTCAAGCTTGAAGCTATTCAGACTTGAAGTGTTGGAGAAATTTAGCAGTTTTTTTTTGTTATGATTAAAGACCTTCAACTTTGACTGTAAACAAACTTCACAATTTCTCTGCATAGTGCGCATAGCGTATTGCGACGATTTCAGACCGGATTAGACTTTCAACCTGTGATCAATATATTTCAATCTTTCCCGCTATTGAGTCCGCATAAAATTCATTCTTTTGTTCGACGTGTTGTTTTTTTTAATAAAAAAAAATTTTCAATTTAAAAGTAAAAAGGTTACAACTAGTGTAATTTTTTAATCGAAAAATTTGAAACATTACGTAAGTATCAGCAACTTTAAGTAAATTAATTAATACAACTTTATTATTTTTATAAATGTGTATAATTATAATAATTAAATGAAAACATTAATAATTGTAACAATAACTTTCGCAAAGTGAAATGTGCCGCATTGCGCACAGCTTCTTACTCAGTCCGATTCTGAGATGAGATCCCACGGGTTGGCATAACCTATATAAGCATATTCGTGACATTTAGCTCGATCTCATTGAATAAATAAAACGCGCGTATTGATTGTTATTGTTAAATAAACATTACTAATAAATAAGTGCATTTACGAAACACAAACCTTGTTGTGAAATTGTTTAAAATGGGCTGGATATCTATGAAGAACCATATGGTAAGTAAAGCTAATTAATAATACACCTTAAATTAAAAGAAGTGAGTAGTAACATTGCAAAATTACATTGTCAACATTATCTATTAATGCTCTAAGTTTATTACATGCCATTAAACACGAAGGCATTAATTTAAGCAGTTACCGTGATCTATAATGGTTTCCATAATAATTATTAAATAATAGATTTTTAAGTAAAAACAATTATGATTTCTTCACTGAATACTATGATTTAGAGAAACATATTTTGAAACAAAAGCCCTCTCGGCAACTCGTACACTTATGAGTTATGACTAAAATATTAGTAATAAATGCAGGGAAATATATAATATTATATAATCGATTAATATTTATTTTTAAATTTATAATATAGTATTGTACGGTAAAAATGTGACAATGGACAACTTGCATTTAAATAATTAAATACATATACATTTAAAATCCAAGAACTCAACTAAAGAAATAATATATCGCTAGGCTAATCTAAAATTGCAATTGTCTATATTCATTCGAACGCGGCCATACCAGTTTTCCCGCGCGTTGATGGCGCCTCTCGCGGATTTGATAGAAAAACTTTTGTGCGTCATGTAGATTGTTGGTTATTCAAGACGTGTTTGTTTCATAAAAATATTTAGTTTTAAGACAGTGTTATCAATAAAGGTTGAGGAAGTGAAATTTGTAACATCGTTTTATGAAGGTAAGTGTTGTCTTGATTAGCATTTTGGTTATGTAACAAATAGTGTGTCATTACAAATATTATTGGGAATGATAATACTAAGATACAATATTTTTTTTAGTTAATCAGTATTCAGTACTAGTTCCAATATTCAGACTTTCTGTCACCTTAGCGAATAGACATTTATGATTACATTTAAAAGGTTATGGCTGATTATTGTTTTGGTTACTTCGTCGTCCATAACCTCTAACTAAATTAAGTAATCAAAATGAACTATTTTAGACTAATTTACTATTAGCTTCTGCCACATATGTTACTTATTTGGTTTATTCATTTTTAAGCTCTCCTTTAATACCTTGCATTATATGTTTAGCAATGGAAAATGTATCGGCGCGAAATATTTTGACTACTAAGATTCAAGTTGAATATATGTATATATTTTTTTGTTTCAGGACTTCCTTATATCTCCTAGCTAGTTTAATTTATTCATTATGAAGCATAACCAAAATGAAAAAGCAAGTAAAAATGGTTATCACTCTGACGACGACAATGTAAGATACAAGATAAATAGACAATACTTTAATAATGTGAAATCTTCCAAAGTAACTAAGAAAACATTAAAATGTAACGATGAAGATAATGTTAGATATAAACTTCCTCCACCCGCACCTGTTCAAAAAATTAAAATAATAGAGAAAAAACAGAAGCCAAAACCAAAAATCAAAGTAAACTTTTGGAGCACAAAGCAACCTGGAAGCCGATTAAAAAAGCCAGATGCTTTTAAGGAGAATAACAATCGAAGACATACTGTCGGAGATGCAACCAACACTAGTAAACCAAAACCATCATTAAAAGTCTGCAAACGGGTTTCATTTCTTCCATCACCAGTATTTACAGAAAACCATGTACCTATGGTCACTGTACCCGACGACCTTACTATACAGTTGAATGAAGAAGAAGCCAATGATTTGAGGGATGACTTGAACTTTGCATTTGTGAATAGTCTTGAATCGGAATCAAAATTAGATAAGAAGTCTAAGACATCAATGACACAAACTAGTCCAAAAGGTGCTAAACGTAAACGATCTGAAGACTTTGATACTAGATCTCATAATAATGAAAATGAATTAGAATTTTTCTCCAAATATGTTGTACAAAAGCTTAGAAGAATGGAGACGAACCAACGCATATACTCTGAAAACCTTATTAACACTGTCCTAATGTTGGGTCAGCTTGGTAAATTAAATGGAAAATCTAAAATATTAGAAGCATAGTTAATATATAATTTAAAAATACTATTAACAATTTGTTTATACTTCATTTGTATATTGAAGTTTAAGTACATTATTACATGACTGTTATTTAATAGCTAATTTTACCGAAATATACTGAAATTAGGTTTAAACTTTAAAACATTGGTTATAGGATAATTTTTTTGTTTGGTCAATGTAATTATTCAGTTCTATTCCATTATATTTCTATGTATTCGTTTATTGGGATGATTGTTATATATTAAAAACAGTTCTATATATACATATACGTATACATGTGTTTATTGTTATATATTTTTGATAAAGGGTCTTTATAGGCCGGTTATAGAAGTTATAAATGTTTCTGTGATGTTTTTGCATGCATAATCTTAGGTATAGTCAAGAATTATAGTTGAAGCTAGTTTGTGATTACAACGCACATTATTTAGGATATATTAATATATGTCTTATTTATATTGAATTTGTACATTTTCATTATATAACAAAAGTAAAATTAATTGTTTGAGGAATGTTAGTTTTGTAAAGTACTCTAATGGATGTTGCTTTATAAGAAATATATTAAAATTAATTATATATTAGTAACAGTTAAACACATAATGTAATAATAGTTACATTAATTTATTTTCATTGTACTGGCTTAATTCTTTATTTATTTTGAGTACTGTATTAATTTTCTTTAAACTTTAATTAATTTGGACATTATTGTATCAAACGTGATGCTTTATTTATTTTTTTTTAGTTTGTGAGGTTTAAAAAAGGTTTTATGAGATGCTGTAATAACTTTTTGAGTGTGACAACTTTGCAACAAGCTCAACGGTTTGATTAAATTATGGATAGTTTTTGGTTATATATTTTTATTTGTATTTAATTGTTGTATGGAAGTTGAGTGCCTTACTAATAAATATATCTATATTCATGTTTTGTTTTCCTGTTTCATATCCACCGTTTGCCTTACTGTGGGTAGAATGATTTTTGAAACCACAAACCTATTTCAATGATTTTTGAAAGCTAAGCACATGTTTGCATTGTCACATACACACACACAAACACTTGCCATTTTCTGTGGCCCATTCCACCACCACCCAGTTATGTAGCACATTTCCATATAAAAAAACTTACGCTTCCTACATACTACATAGTGTGACGATGCAAAACTTAGGGTAAATACAGAGGTAAATTAGGGTATAGTTACCCAAAATTTCTATCAAATCAAAGTATAATATTAGTATAACCTTTTGAAGTCTTGACAATTTTCGGTTTCTAGATACAAATCTTTTTCGTAATTTATAAAATTGGCATATTTTCGTTTTGGGTTAGATATTCCTCAACACCTATTGTGAAAGTTTGTACAAGTGTTGAATAGTTTCTATTTAAATAACCGACTAATTTACGATTAAGATGCTTTTCTATCAACAATTATTTGTTTTGTTGCAACATTTTACTACTTTTATTTTCATTGAACAAATTGTGCGCTTTTATTTTCAGCGGCTACCCCTGCTAGCGATAGGGCCTTCTTGTCGTCTAGGTTTTTATGAAAAAAAAAGTGATTGGTATAGAAGGGAATACGAGACGAATATCTATTAGTTATGAATATAAAATATTGACGTTTATGAATATTGTTAATTTGAAAAATACAAATTGTAATAAAATTTTGGTATGTTACTACAATTCTTGTTTCGACTTACCATCTTACAAAAAGCTTAGAGTATCTGGAAAAAAAAAACAGAAATAGCGTAGCAAATACTATTCTCCCATAAAGACCGTCTGTTGGCCCGCCCCTTACGACATAAAATGCAAAAAATATTTCTTAAAGCGTTTACTAACGATATTTGAGTTTTCTAAAAATAATAAATAATTTTTGAATTAATGTTTGCAATAAAAAAAGCTGCCTACTAAATTATGGACTAGGAACATTATAAAAGTACCAAAACGTGTTAAATACTTCCATCGATTGTATTAAATTGTTTTTTGTTATAAGTTTTGAATTGGTGTTTAGAGAAAAAGTTTTCATAGACAAAAAGAACATTTAAATTAAATAATATCGTCTGCTTTATAAATTAAAAAAAATAATATAATAGGTATATTAAGAATAGAATTTAACGAAACTTAGACAGCATCCAAATATATTGTAAACATAATACAATTTTATTCTAAACTAGCTTTTGCCGCGACTACGTCCGCGTGGAATAGTGACTTCCGGCAGATTTTTGATTCTTCCCACATAGTTCCCGTTCTTGCGGGGTTTTCGGAATGGTCGAGTTCCCGGAGAATTTTCAGGATAAAACCTATGTTTTTTTTTATTCACAATTAAGTACTCTTTACTAACAACATATTTATTTATTTATTTGAATAAAGATTAAAATATTATTATGTTGATGCAACTCAAACAAATTATTTCGACCAAATAAGGTACCATAAAAACGGTTTTTGTGAGTTAATCTTAAAAGACAGACATATACTGTCGCAGACTGTTTTTTAGATCATTAAAAGAGCTATTATATATTAAATTTATACATATTTTTTGTGTATCTTGAACCGTTTTCACAGCGCACGCAACGGAAGGCTTCAAAAATGAAATAATTTCTCCCGTTTTTTACACATTTACCCCTATATCTTCGCTTCTATTGGTCGTAGCGTGATGTTACATGGCCTACAGCCTTCCTCGATAACTGGACTATCCAACACAAAAAGAATTATTCAATTCGAACCAGTAGTTTTGGAGATTAGCGCTTTCAAACAAACATACAAACTCTTTAGCTTTATAATATTAGTATAGATAGTTTTTTGGAAATCAACTTGATTTGCATTCGACGGTGCATTCTATCATTGTTCTCATCCTGTTTCTTCAAAATCTACTTATATTTTGCCATTTCAATAAATATTTTATGACTCTTCTAAAGACAAGCTCCAATTTCCATCATTTTATTTCTCAATAATATTACATTAAGTAATTTCTGGAACTGAGATCGTTATTATTACTACGCTTACTTATATGTTTTTTATGAGTTATATGTTCTTTAACACCTGAACTAAAGTATGTACCTAGATAAAATGTTGAGTAACAAATAGACTAAAATCTTTAAAAGCACAAACTAAGCATCAAGCTAGATATGACATGTAAATTGGTTTTGATGTTCGTCGGAAACAATATTCTCTACTGTGAGTTGGCCTTGTACATATCCCTTACAAATGGAAAATTTTATACAATATGCTAAATAGTCAAGTATGACTTAGAAAGAAATGAACTATAGTGTATAAATGACAATGACAATATAAATGACAACTTTTTATTAAGGATTTATGACAATAAAGGCAATACTCTTCAACTTTCTAATAAAAAAAACTAAAGTTTATCATTGAAAAGATGATTAAAATATGAATCAATTGAATGTTCGTTATTTTTTGATAATAACACCGATTAAGACTAATTATCGTACATTGTCAAAAGTAAACAAATTATGGAAAAGAATGGAATGAATTATCTTACCATAGTTATGAAAAAAATTACTGAATCCAAATCTGAATGGCTGAATACATCAAGTATATTAAAATTGAAAGAAATAACTTGAGAAAAGAAAAGAACAAATCGGTAATATAATATTGATGAAATAGAACTTTACAGATAGAAATGAAGAAAGTATTTAATAACCAACCAATCGTAAGAACGATTCTCATCTCACAAACTTGTTAAACGGCTAACGTGTTTATATAGAAGTTTGAAATGGCTCCGAAAATTGGATACAAAAAATAATTTGCCACAAATTAGATAGAAAAGCGATTCTTGAGAGTACATCCACGGTCAAAGGAGCTTGTTGTTAACTAGCGGTTGCCCGGTAACGCTAGATTCACTACATCCGTCGCCTCCATACTCACTAGTCAGTACTCAGTCTACTGCCGGCCGCCCTGAAACACGGGCTTGGCGCTCAAACTATGACTTCATGAAATAACTATACACTTCTATACCACTCATTACATGCTTAATTCATAGTTTAAATCTTATAAAAATTGGATAAACAAAAGAATTTTTTAACAGTGTTCAGTGATTAAAACGGTATGGCGATAATATAAATTTTCAATTATTTTAAACACTTTGAATAGTCTGTTTAATTGGAATCAGTGATGTAGAAAAATTCTACTGTTTTTTCATGATATATAAAAATTATTCTCGCGAACAAAATGGACATAGTACATCGATTGCATTACTTGGTTCTGTCACAAAAGTCTGATCTCATGACTATGGAGAGAGAACAACGCATTCGTATGAGACGTCAATCAAGCCTCCCTGAATACAGCAAAGCTAATAAAACAAGACAACGTCTGGAACAAGCTTATTTTAACGACGTAAGTTATATACATTGTCATAAAAACATAATTTATAAGAGGATTTATAACCAATTTATGAACACCTAATTTTTGTAATGCTCGAAACAAGCTACAATTTCAGAACGACTTAATCCAAAAAACCACGCTCGAATAATTTTTTTATTTTCATTGCAACTGTTTAATTTATTTCAATAATATAATACTATCTAAACACTTATATTTTAAGGCAAATGACCTTTGAAAGTTAAATGGCTAAATAATATTGATAAAAAAATAGGATATAGTAAAACTTTTCGTCTGAGGTTAACAACCTAATGTCTCTGTCTACCAAACGCAATGATAACTATCTTAATCTCAATCGTACAATCTTAGATTTATTTTATTTAGTTTATTTTAAATCATCTTTTTATTTAAATCAATTACGACATCTTCAACTATTATATACTATTTACAAAATATATCTATAGATAAAAACTTAATCAAAGTAAATTTTTGTTCAAAAGTTTTATGAACCATAGAATTTCAATACTTTTTTTTAAGATTATTCGTAAAAATGAGAATATCTAGAATCCTTATATGTATCGTAATAAGATTACTAGACTTCAAAAATCTATATTTTTCATATTGTACGAAATCATTAGTCTCATTGATTGAGTGGATAAAAATACTTATTAAAGGAT